GTATGTACCAGAGGCTCTTGGGATTTAAGTTCTCTATTCTAGACTTTTATCTAGAGCAGGTAGCCTAAGTGAATTTTCCATCTTGTGAAACTCCTGCAGTGAGGCCACAGAGAGGGAAATGGAGCTAAGTACTGACAGATGAGTCACAAGTCGCTATATTGTGAATCAGGACTGTCGCTGGGAAAAAAATACATATAATTCACTGATCTTAGAGAATATATTTTTCAAGGGACTTAAGGTATTCACCTCTACATTTTCTACTTTACTACTCACACAGGAAGGTAAATGCAACACCTAGATTTCTCAAGTGATATAGATCCCCACCTTTCACACCTACTGCTAGTTATATAACAAATTACAAATTCTATTTATTCAATATGATCACAAAAGGAACAAAAGCCCAGTGTGGATAACTTTCAACCTATCCTCTTCTACTCCCATGTTTTTTGTTTATCTGTATAAGGTAACTAAAATGGTATAAATTTTGCTTCCTTTGATTCACTTGAAAGAAAACCCTTTCCATTATTATTGTTATTTCGAGTTTATAGCTATAAGGAACAGAGTATCAGAAAGTTGAGTGACTTTGTGCTTTTTAGAATCTTAAACTGCTTGTGGCTTTCAAGTTGTGCATTTTCTGCTTTATTTTGCTTAATCCTGTGAGTTTTAAATTTGAGTTAGCTGCTGGTGTTTAAGATTTAAGAGATTACCTTCTCTGTATGTAGTGTGGATGAACTAGTAGCATTAACCCCTTTCATTAATGGCCACAAAACCCTTTTGGAGTTGAGCTCATCTACCACGTTAGAAAGTGGAAGCTCCCTCCAAAGCTCCCTCCAATACGGTTGGTCCTTACTACCCTGCTGTTCCCATTGCTTGAAGCCAGGTCTCTGTTCAACTCCCTTTGCAGTTAGCCTCCCTTATTTAACTGCTTGCTCACTTAAGTTATTTGAATTTACTGATCATTCTATAAGAAGGGCATAGATGTTACAGACTTTCTGCCAACTCTTTTGAATTCCTGGATGGTACCTGGATAAAGTTTAGAATGATACTGGGGATTTATATGGACTCAGAAGAGAAGTATGTCTTCAAGAATTGCAGTATCTGCCAGGAAAGCTGTGAGACAAATGTGCTAGATATAGTTGACATACTCTTGAGATTTGAATGATGGTAAGGGTACCTGAAATAGTCTCACGGCAGCTATTGAAAGAGAAGCCGATCATTACTGAGCATCTTTTCTCAGGAGGATTAACATATATTTATGGATTTTGGCTGCATAATAATCTTGTTAACCCCAATTCACAGATAAAGGTAGCAGAGATTCAACATCTTTTGTAATATGATAAAACTACTAACTAGTAGCCTTAAGTTTTCACTTTACTTCTATTATATTTTGCTAGCTTTTATTTTATTTTTTTGATAATTAGTGGCTACAGTGTGATATTTCTTATTTATTTATTTATTTAAGAGGTAGAGTTACAGACAGTGAGAGGGAGAGACAGAGAGAAAGGTCTTCCATCCATTGATTCACTCCCCAGTTGGCCACAATGGCTGGAACTGTGCTGATCCGAAGCCAGGAGCCAGGTGCTTTTTTCTGGTCTCCCATGTGGGTGCAGGGGCCCAAGAACTTGGGCCATCTTCTTCTGTTTTCCCAGGCCATAGCAGAGAGCTGGATTGGAAGAGGAGCAGCTGGGTCTTGAACCAGCGCCCATATGGGATGCCGGCACTGCAGGCAGAGGATTAACCTGTGCCACGGCGCCAGCCCTGATATTTCGATATATGTATAAAATGTGTGTTCATCAAATAAGGGTGATTAACATTTCCCCTTCCTTGGTATTACTTTATTGTTGGAGGCCTGGAGCTTCCTTCTTCTACTTGCTTATACAAAATGCAGTAGGTTACTGTGAACTACAGCTTCCCCACTATGGAACTGTAACACTAGCAACTTATTCCTTTGCTCTAGCTCTGGATTGGTACCCATTATTCAAATTCCCCTCTTCCACCTACCCCTCCCACCCGCTATACATCACTGTGTTCAGAATAAGTTTTTGTCAAGCTTTGGCATATGAGGGAAAACGTGTGGTATTTGTGTCACTATACTTTCAGAGATCATTCCTGAAGTTTCCCTAGTGTTTTGAAAGCCTTCACAACTTTGAGAGCAGCCAATGACATGCAGATGCCTCTAATAGTAAGGCCTTTAGGAAGCAACAAATGTGACTGTTCTCAAGTACTAAGGGCTTACAATCTGAATAATACGCTCTTAAGTGTTTTACACAGGTTATTTCATTTACCTCTACAATTTCTAAGTTTGCAAGAGAAAGTCCAAGTTCATAGAACCAATAAATAACTGAAGCAGGATTCAATCCCTGAGGAATAATTTCTTAAATGTCTAGTTTCTGTGTATTACAAATATTACATTACAAATATTGGTTGTGATGCATAATGATAGGGTAAGTATAACATAACCAGAGAGAAATCACTAGGACCATAATTTTGCCAGAGTCTAATTCCTGAGAGTTTGAATGAAATGATAGCTAGCTTGATGGCTTGGCTGAATGTTTGAAGGGTTAATTCTGACACACAGGAAAGGAGGATATCAACTTGAGACAATAGTGAATGTATGTGATCATCTGAGAGATTAGGGGTGCTGGAATGATGACTGTCTCCCACGTCATTGATTGTAAATGAGAAGAGGCTAACCAGCACCTCCTTGAGCTGGAAAAGTCGGCTCTTGCCTTAGTTTTTAAATTCTACCTCTTGTACATATTTTGTGATTGCCTTGATTTTACTTAAAAGAGATGACTTAACATAAGTCATATTTTAAATATTAAATATTGTTCTACATGTTGTTTTTGTTGGCATACTTACAGTTGGTAAGAAATTATTCTAGTAAAATAGATTTTTGGAAAATGAAATAAGAATGACACAATCGCTCAGTGAGAATCTGAAATAGTAATGGTAGATGTATGTTGGTGCTATATTTAGTATGTGTGTAGAAGAAACATATATTTTGGGCCAGGACTTGTCATACTTAGTGATATCACCCTGTCATAGATTTAGGGAGCTGGTGACCATATTTCTCTGAATCATTATTACATGCAAAATTTTTAATCATACCCATGGTAGTCATTTGTTTCTTTCAGTGAGTGCATTCCTATTACTACAGTATACCATTCTACTATTATATTACAGAAGTTTTATTTTGAAGAGATGGCTTTGTATAGAATCATCTTTTCTCTCACAAATCAAAATATTTTTCACTTCATACTTCTAGACAGCCTCTCATCATATCTGGTATAGAAATAATCCTTTTATTTCTATTTTAGAGGTTACCCAATATTAAGTCACTTTTAGCAAATATTTCTGAAGCCTGATGTGAAATAAATTCCTGTTTGGGAAATAATAATCATCTCTATTCATAAGCAAACTGTTATTGTCTACAGCTATGCTATATGAGATACCATTTTTTTATGATTGGAGATTAGATTGCATGGCTATGTAGGTTTTAAATTTCCTCAGTGAAACTTTACATTCAAATACATACTGTAGAGAACTTTGCAAAATGATATAAAAGTAAATTAAAGACATAAGGGTGTTATATCACTGATATTTGTCAATAACATAAAACAGATATTATCCACAAGTATTTGTCATCTAGAATGAGAACCCAGCCTATAAGTAGGCAGATTCCTGTTATATAGTAAGTGATATAAAATAACAAAATCATAACTAGATACTGTACTGGCAGATACATATGCACCTATATAGTTCTTGAGATTGGGGAGCTGGACATAAAATTGCTAGCGTTGAAATTTAAACATAGCCAGTGTGATGCAACAGAAAAAGAGAGACCCATTTCTTTCAGCAATGAGTGAATTATCCTAAAAATGCAGGAGGAAAAAAGGGCTAAAAAGATAATCCACTTGACTTAACTTCTTGGTTAGTCAGAGAAGTTTTATTAATTCAATAGTAAGTGTTATTCTTAAACATGTTATTAGAAAAATATATGTACACTTGGTTGGATTTTTTTTCAGTAGCCTAAAATTTTTAACGTTCTATATGACTTAAAGTTGGGATAGCAGTTTCAATAGTGACCGAATAAGCTAACGCATTGTTTAACTTACAAAGTAATTTTGTTAGTCTGTTGTAGAACATTTCAACGATAGTAATTTAAAAATGAACATTTCTAGTTAAAAGAGGCCCAAAAAATTGTTATCAGCAACAGTTTTGTGATTTAAATCTAGGCCAGTTTTTGTTTTCATAAAATTTTTTTATTTATTTGAAAGAGTTAGAGAGAGACAGATCTTCCATCTGTAGGTTCACTTCTCAAGGTTGGGCCAAGCCAAAGCCAGGTGCTGCCAGGAGCTCAATCCAGATCTTCCATGTGTGTGCAGGGGCCCAAGCACTTAGGCCATCCTCCACTACTTTCCCAGGCATGTTAGCAGGGAACTGGATCAGAACTGGAGCAGCCGGATCTTGAACTGGCACCCAATGGGATGCCAGTGCTGCAGAACATGGCTTTACCCACTACACTACAGTGTTGGCCCCAAGACCACTTTTACAACAAAAATGAAAGGACTTTTCTATACTAGAGCATTAGAACAGATAAGTGTAAATTCTTAATTTTCCTAGGGATATATTAACTCCAAATACAGTTATCATAATCAGCTTTGTGAACATAAACTTGAAATGATGATTTTAAAATGCCATAGCTTTGATTCTGTTAAAAGGTAAATTTTCAATAATTGTATCATTCTTGCCTTAGATATGCATTCTTAGTTTGCATTTAAAGTGCAGTAAGTCATCTGGGTTATGAATATGATTTGGTCTCCATTTATACAACAATATTGATTTTCTGCAACAATGCTGAGTATTGCCAGTGTCACCAATGTTAGTGGGATCTCTACACTTAATGAATTTACAGTGTCTTGTAAATCTGAGACTGCAGGAGGTATGCATAAAACATTTATTAATAAAAACTTGTTCGACAGACATTTATTAAATACATACTAGAGCTGTTGTTCATCTTTAGGAAGACTAAAATGAGTCTGGACTTATAAAATATGTCACAAAGATTACTTTTTAAAAGGGTGTAGAGATTTAAAGAAAGTTGAGTCCTTCAAATTTACAGATATTGATTGCTTAAAGACAGAGATAATATTTTTAACATTAAATAAAGGTTGACCATTGGTCATCTTTTTAAGGTATTTATCTCGTGTATTTTTATTCCTGTTTTGAGCTACTGCATTTCTTTTTAGTATTCTTTGTGTAGAACTATTTCACTCTCCATATTTCCTCTTCATCCTTGTTGATTTCCCCATGGTTATGAACATTTTGTATCAGCCTCTAGAATCAATGTTCCCGAACTTTAACAATATAAGATGGTGATATGATGCTGAGGCTTAGCAAGGGATTATATATTGAAATAACTTTCAAATCAGATATCTTACATTAGAAGAAGGGTGCACAAATAAATTTTTGTCACCACTTGTCATAAATTTGAATATGGATTTCTACCTGCTGTTGGATCACAAGTGATTTTCCAGAGAAGATGTCTACAATATCATTGCCTTTATCAGAATGATTTCTTCTTTCCCAGAGTTCTGTTTGTCATTTTTCATATGAGATTTTGTTATCTATTGCTGAAAAGTAATTTATTTTTTGGTGAAGTAGTGTGGATATGACCTCAATCTCCTAAAATTAGGTATTTCCTTTTCTCTTGTTTCTTGAGTGTATTAGGGGAAGCTTAGTTTCTATTTCAGGTAACTCTAAATCCCTCTAGACATTAGTCATAATGGTGTTGTTAATGTATTGGATTATGTATATAACCCCAGACAGTAGATCTCTTTTAAGTTTGATCATAGCACAGTAATGACTTATGGTGAAATCACAAATAAAATGAAAAATATCGAGATTACTTAGATGGGATGGGACTTAAAACTTCAGCATTTTTAAAAAGCTTTTGAAACAATTTTAAAATGAATAGATGCTGAATCTTTGGGTCTCAGTCTGTTATTTAAAGTGAGTGACTCAAAATGTTGATTTTCCTGCCACAGGGGAATGTCAACACTTGTAAAGAAAAAGATATTGACTTAAATCAAATGAGTTAGAAGGCCACATCAAAAACCTTTCTATGGTTAAGTGAAAGCTTGATGAAGAGTGACTTTTCTCCCTATGAAACAGTGAATTTGACTTCATGTACTTGAGAGCAATATGATACAGTCTTTACCAAGGCCAGGTATTGTCCTTATTGATTTTTGCACTAATATGCTGAACCTGCATAATGATGCAAAGAAATAAATATAATTAGTATCCTCCTCATTTTAATTTAGGGAAGCAAAGCTCTAAAGAGAGCCGTGTATTTGTTAAATAGTAAAAAGAGATTAAAACCTATGTAGTCTGGCCACAGATTCTCTCTGCTCTTCACTATTTTACTAGTGACACCCACAGAAATTGTTATCTAAATATTTTACACTTAGATTGGCCCAATGATTTTAAAAGTTGTAATGAATCAGAATATCAGAAATATTTTCCACATAACAGAAATCATGATAAAGTTATGGTCTTTTAGGTAGACAAATGCAAACACAGTGTACATAAAATTTATCTATTCACTATAGGCCATTTTATTTCAGTATTATACAGTTTGAAAATCAAAATAGAAAGGGACTTTTATTTCTCTTACTATGACTATACTATGGAAAAAGATGCAAAAATCAAAACAAAGGACCTTAAAATTTTTATTCATCAAGCCTTATATGTGAGTCTAGTAAAACAATTAGGCACTCTTATTTGACAGAGGTTAGCAGATTATCAGTTCTGTTGTGCTACAACACTAAAACAATGTACAAACCAAATAATCACATAATATTCACATAAACTCACTAAATTTCATAACTGAGATGCTCAAACATCTGCATTTTGTATAAGATGTAACTGAATTTTCAAATAGGTTAATTACTCATTTTGAGACTTTACCTTGTAGTGAAAGCAAACTATACATTACAGGAATTTCATGGGTTTAGTTCATTCTATTATCTATTGCCCCCTTGCTCTAGTTGACAGATCCATCAGAAGTGGGGCACAGCACTAAGCTGAACAGAGGAGGCCATCGTGGCCCTTATCTAAAAGAGAAGAAGGACAAGTAAAGATATATTGTATTTTAAGAAGCTCTTAAGTGTATCAAAGGAGAATAAACAGGATGAGAATCCAGAGTTATGAGGTGCTTGTCAGAGGCCATGTGTCTAAGAAAATACCAAAGAATCCATGGCAAAACACGTGAATTCACATGAATTCTTTTTTTTTTTTTTTTTTTGAAAGGCAGAGTGGACAGTGAGAGAGAGACAGAGAGAAAGGTCTTCCTTTTGCCATTGGTTCACCCTCCAATGGCCGTCGTGGCTGGCACACTGCGGCTGGCACACCACGCAGAAACGAAGCCAGGAGCCAGGTGCTTATCCTGGTCTCTCGTGGGGTGCAGGGCCCAAGCACTTGAGCCATCCTCCACTGCACTCTCTGGTCACAGCAGAGAGCTGGCCTGGAAGAGGGGCAACCGGGACAGAATCCGACGCCCTGACCGGGACTAGAACCTGGTGTGCTGGCGCCGCAAGGCAGAGGATTAGCCTAGTGAGCCGTGGCGCCGGCTCTAAACATATGAATTCTTAACTCTTCAAGCAAACTGACTGCACATCACAGCTTTCATAAGTAAAGGATAAAAATGGATTTAGAATGCCTAATTAATCATATTGTTTTATATGTGGTTAAATCATTACTTGCAATAAATACATTAAGTCTGCAAAATGGGTAGAGTTATGAAGCTTCTAATTTACAGAGCATTACAGCCTGTTAAGAAGTAGTCATAAATCAACAAACCAGTCATTTAGATATGATTTATTACACTAATGAAAATGCAAATGCCAATGCATTTTTAAAACTTTCTATACTTGTTAAGAGATAAATATATTTTAAAATTAAATAATAATGAATACCTATTCAATTATAAAAAAATTTAACAATGAGATAAAATATTCACAATTGACACAGGTTCCAGAAAAAGTCCCATCAAAAGCTGTTAGCAATATAAATTACAATGCCTTTATTTTTTTCTTGAAGGGAATAGATATATAATAGAATATGTTCTTTGTACTTGGTTGAATCTCAATTCTACCTTTTAATCCCATGATGGCCCTCACCATGTATAAAGTGGATCCATATTTGGAGTTATTAAGAATATGAATGAGATTATTTTGTAAGATTTTTGCCATAGAATGTGGCACAATAAACATCCATAAAATATTCATGATTAGTACTGAAACAAATAAGAGTATTTTCTTTAGCCACCAGCTTTAGAATTCAATACTATGGTGAAATTTTGTTTAAAGATTTATTTGAAATGTAGAGTGACAGAGAGGGAAAGGCAGACAGAGAAAGGTCTTCCTTCCGTTGGTTCACCTCCTATATGGCCACCACAGCAGGTGCACTGCGGCCTGTGCCCTGCGCCGATCCAAAGCCAGGTGCTTCCTCCTGGTCTCCCGTGCAGGTGCAGGGCCCAAGCACTTGGGCCATCCTCCACTGCCTTCTGGGCCACACCAGAGAGCTGGACTGGAAGAGGAGCAACCGGGACAGAATCAGGTGCCCCAACAGGGACTAGAACCTGGGGTGCCAGCGCCGCAGGCGGAGGATTAGCCAATGATTAGCCAATTGAGCCGCAGGCACTGGCCTCTCTTGAACTTTTTCAAGTACTATTATGTAAACTCTCTTATATTGTTTTACTTATAATCTGAAACTCTTTTGTTCCTAATCATAACTCATTAGTGGATAAATAAAGTGAGTGGAACAAATAATTGTTTCTATTTCTGAGTGGTAGGATTCTGTGTGATTTTAAAAAGTTTTTAACTTCTTCCATCATATATTGTTTTTAGGCACAGATTACAAATCTCTATATTGGGTAGGGCCCTGTTTCACATGCTGGAGATGCTGTGGTAAGATGGCCAGGCTCTTTCCTTGTGGGGATTTTCATGAAAGTGAGTGGTCAACAGCTGAATCAATTAATTTTGTTGGTGGTTTCCATTGGGCTCTTGCTATAGGGATACAACAAAATAAGGGAGTAGAAATTGATTGGGTTGGGCAGGAGGAGAGTGGTAGAAGTTTCTGTGTATGAGTTTGACCCAGGAAAGTCTGAGGAGTTTAAAAACACGCTGAGAACCGGATGATGAAACCAAGACTGACAGGTGAAATGCAATCAGCTCAAAGCCATGCATCGAGAACAAGTCCTGTTCATCTAATGATGAGAAGGTGACAAAGCAGGGAGCAAGATTTCTGGAAGGATAACGGGAGTTTGATAGCATGGCACAAATTTGGAGTCCGATGTTGGAATCTTTTTAATATTGCTACTAATTTTTGAGTTTTTCTATATTAGACATTTATTAGCATGTTTCAGTTAATTTTTAAAAATATATCTGTGTTATTTAAAAGAGAAATGCCAAATATAGAAACAAGTGACATCAGAATGGAAGAAGTGAGACTTGGAGATGCATTATAATTACATTATGTGCAAATACACATATATTTGGCAATGCATAGAAGATATCAAAACATTTAAGTAGAGTGTTTTAATGATTATTTAAAATGTTTTAAAATTTTGACTATTTTTATGATAACATAAAGGAAAACTATATTTTTATTAACTACATGGATTGCAAGGACTCCTTTTATGTTTTACTTCAAAATTCCTGTGGGCTCTCCTTCTTTTCTATGTGTGGAGGCTCAGTTTCAGATAACTAATTTATAATCTGGATTATTTCTTTTGATAGTTTTTCTGACCATTTATATGAAAAGAAAGTAAGTCGCTGATTATTACTTCAGGAACTGTACATTTAAGCCACCTTGATATAACTTTATAAGTGATTATGTATCTTGCAAAATGTTATGCAGTATTTAAATTCAGTTACTGGATGCAGCAAGTTTTAGGCTTCAAAATAAACTTTTCCCTCAGTCTGCTTTGGAACAAGAATAACTAAACCCAGAAACTGTAATTACTGTCTGAATGCCTTCCTGCAAGATAAAATGAGATGTTAAAGTGACTTGAAGTTAAAGTATTTAATGTCTTTGATATGACCTTGTTATTGAAAACCTATTTCAAGAATTCTAAATGCTTGTAATATAATCACGGGGAAACAAATTTAGTATGGTAAAGTTGGAATAAATATAGATAATAATTTTAATGAGTATATCTTCTGGGAGCACTATTCAAGATCATTTTTTTCAAATATGCACTTATAGATACTATTTAATAGATATGACATCTGAAGGTAGCTTGATGCATCTTCACTGAGTGCTCAAAAATGTTAACAATTGTTACAATTTAAATTCAAAGCAGTGGTCTGCACTTCCATTTTTATTTATCCAGGCTAGGTAAAATGTGAGTGTACATTTGATTTCTTTTATCATTCAAGCACATGGAGTTGCTACAGTAATCAAACATGTAAATGCCAGGAGCTGATTATCTCTCTAGTTTTATAAACAGAACTTAAAAATTCTGCTGTCTACAAATGTAGCTAATTAATTGTTCTAGCTGCTCACCATAATCTAAATGTTGAAGAATCTGAGAGCAAATAGAGGCCTAAGAAATAACATAGGCAGGCCAGCTCCACGGCTCAGTAGGCTAATCCTCTGCCTTGCGGCGCAGGCACACCGGGTTCTAGTCCCGGTCGGGGCACCAGATTCTGTCTCGGTTGCCCCTCTTCCAGGCCAGCTCTCTGCTATGGCCTGGGAGTGCAGTGGAGGATGGCCCAAGTCCTTGGGCCCTGCACCCCATGGGAGACAGGATAAGCACCTGGCACCTGCGTTCGGATAGGCATGGTGCGCTGGACACAGCACGCCGGCCATGGCAGCCATTGGAGGGTGAACCAACGGCAAAGGAAGACCTTTATCTCTGTCTCTCTCTCTCACTGTCTACTCTGCCTGTCAAAAAAAAAAAAAAAAATAACATAGGTGATTTTGTCCATATTTTCATCATTTACTTTGCAAAACTTCACTGCTGAATTTATGGCATAGCGCATTTCAAAAGGATTTTGTCTCCTAGTAGCCTCAGAACAAAATGCTGTTTTTTCAGTGTAGGGTACGACAGTTGTATATTGGATACCTATCTCTCTCTATTTTCTGAATATGTTATCATGTAAATAGTAATATCCAGGGAGTACTCGATCAGTTTTCCTTTCTTCTGATATAGAGATAGATGTTAAAGGCTCTGAATCACCTTATTCGTGCCATTCACTTGGGGGTTTTAGAAGAGGATATTGAAGTATGGCTGATTTCATTTTCTGATGCAAAACCCTGCAGGCCGGAAACTCGGTCACAAACTACTGACCTGTGAAGAGTTTCTTCTGGTGATCAGATAGAAAAGGCTTTTGATGGTTCTTCTGCGAGGCAGACGTCCAGCAAGTAGCAGTCAACACTGCTTGTGCATTTAGTATGTTTTGTGAGAGATGCACTTCAGTAAAACTGTTTATACCAAAATCCCCAAGAGATCTGTTTTTTTAAAGATTTATTTATCTGAAAGTCAGAGTTACACAGAAAGAGAAGGAGAGGCAGAAAAAGAGAGAGTGGTCTTCCATCCACTGATTCACTCCCCAATTGGCTGCAATGGCCAGAGCTGTGCTGATCCAGAGGCAGAAGCCAGGAGCTTCTTTTGAGTCTCCCTTGTGGGTGCAGGGGCCCAAGGACTTGGGCCATTTTCTACTGCTTTCACAGGCCATAGCAGAGAGCTAGATCAGAAGTGGAGCGGCCGGGACTCGAACTGGTGCCCATATGGGATGCCAGCACTGCAGGCAGCGGCTTTACCCGTTATGACACAGCATCAGCCCCTCCCAAGAAACTTTGTCTAGTCCACTATAATCAAACAAATTTGAAACTAGAGATGGGCTTTCTGGGATTCATATTCTTTGACAGTTATAATGTATTTTGCAATATATGTATTTTAGGAGAAAGAGACTGACCTACCATTTGATCTTGTTAAATGTTGTAATCATCAAATGTTAGTTTTCTGCACATTCACATTATCTAGGATAGCTATCTGGACCAATAAGTATTAGTAAATGGAAGGAATAAAGCCAAAGAAAATTTAGCCTGAATATGAAAAATTAATAGCACTAAAAATTATTGGCTTTATAATTGCTTCCCAGAAGATGTGGCAAAAACTCTACTCTGAGGGTCATTTGAGAAGGCTGACTGGAACAAAAACACTTAGACTACAGATTAGGCTGCCTAATAAGTTTAGGTCCTCTCCAATTCCCAAGCACTGTTGACTGCACATAGAATAACATCACAGTTATCACTTTAGTAAGTCCAGAGAAAGACAAAAGTCTTCGTAATCCTTGGAGGAATTGTGTTGTGGCTATTATTATTCACTTTTCATTATGAAACTAATGGGAACATGCATAAATTATAGACATTTAGCAAGGAGAAATATTCTCCTTTTCTATTATTCTCTCTTATTACGTACTAATTTCCCTCTCTTTACTCACATTAACCCTGCCTGACAGTCCCTGGAAAGTGCTGGGTGCTGGTCTTCAATACACTGTCAGCGGAACATTCAGCAGCGCTGCTTCTGCGCAATAAATAATTCTGCGTGTGGTTCTGTGATGGGCAGAAAGTGATTTAGCCCTCTTGGACTTCAGTGGCTCTCTCTGGAGGCTCCTCTCAGATAAGCTGCAGGAGCCGTGGTCTCTAGGAGGAAGAGAGTTGAGTTGTACAAAGGAGACTGGAAAAAGAAGGTCCTAAGCTAGGAGTTTCTGTCACTGAAGAGCTTTTAGCATGGAGGTAACTGCAACAACAAAGCAGACTTCTTGAATAATTCATCACTGCCCAACACTCTTCTGAAGCCCTACTCTTATTTATAAACATAGATTATACTGTTATCGATTGTAATCCTCACAGAGGCGTTTCATTAACTGCGAGGTTTGTCTGCTTGCATATGCTTTGTTTCCCCGAGTATTTGAACAGAAATTTACAGCTGAAGTAAAATTAAAGAAAATTGTCTAACAATCTAACTCATTGTGCAAGCAGGAAAGGAACTAGAAATGGTTTCCTCTGGATACCCAGATGGTTAAGTCATTTTATTCCATTAATTGTACTGTGATCTGAAAGTGTGATAAGAATCACCCAGGAAAAGTATTCTTCCCAAGAATTTCATTGCCATCACAATCACCGCTGCTATTCCAGACAGATTATCTGAAATTTCAGATGAATTTTCTCATTTTCCCACAGTTTTTCAGTTTCAGACATACTTGAAGTATCTAAGTGAGGAGGAAAATTGTTTGTTGTACAAACGAGTTCCTGGCCACATTAATTCAAAAGATGTGAGAATTCAAATGTACCCAGTGCTTTTGAGTATTCAGAAGACAATCCAGATTCTGACACAGAAGGACAATGTGTTCTCTTAGACTGCTGTGAGCACAAGTAGCCTCTCTCTAGGGTGACCCCAAATGATGCTTGTGACTCTTCGCACTGCAGGAGCTGATTCAGATGAAATGCAGGCTTATATCTGATAAAATCACAATGGTGTGAAAGGTACCCTGAGTGTTGTCTTGAACCCTGAAATTTAAATCATAAACTCAAATGTGAGAACAGCATTGGACAACATATGAGTGGGGTTTTAATTAGAACTGAAAATAAAGACAATTATCTATTGCAGGAAAGGAAACTCATAACACTTAGGAAGTATTTGTCATTGTTGCATTTTTTTTGGTGGTGGAGGATGATGATTTGTTGGTTTGAAATCCACAAAGCTGAAGAAAAATGAATCGTAAAAATTCCAAAGAGTCAGAATGTCCCAGACAGCAGAGATATATGTTCATCTGAGGATTGATTCTCCTAAGAATGTCTCTGAGATGGAGTACTTTGAAAAGAAAAGAAGTAGGAATCAAGTTCAAAGAAGCCCTTAAAATCCTAGTGACTATGCCAAAAAAAAAAAAACAAACAAACAAACAAAAAAAAAAAAACAGGAAATAAAGCAGATAAAGGGTCCTTTCTTCAAAAAAGAAAATATTTTGATTGAATAGTTTAGTTGCATCTTTTATACTGTACCAGTTTTCTTTGTGTTAATTACTACAGTTTCTTTCAATGTCAGGTTCACTTTTTCTCTGAATGAATTTGTGTCTTAGACTCAGATACTGAAAGAATCAATGCTCTGAGAAAATGCACTGCTACGTGTTAGGCCAAAAAATTATTCACTGTGTGCCTTTTTAGTTATTTCCCCAGTTATCTTAAAGGCTTCCAAGAAAATGTTTAAATAAATTACAAATCTCAAGTAATATTTTCTTTAGAAAAGCATTTTGCTGTCACATCCAGAGACCAGTCTGTTTTCTCTGACTCCTGTTACCTACAAGAGTCCCAAGAACTTACCTTATTGCTTTTCTTTCTGTAAATCTCATTTTGTTCCAGGCAATGTTTTAAAGGGCCATGTGTGCAGTAGTGTGCTAGATGTGACACGACAGAATGGCCTCAAATTCAAGTCATGGCCTTCCTGGCTTAATACATTCAGCAGTCAACCATTTTTCTTTTAATAAAGTCTACACTTCTTGTCATGCTTTGCATGTCTCTAAACAGGATGCTCCATGTCTGTTTTTCACAGGGACCGTCCTCTGTTGCTTGGAAGTCTTGTGTCTCAGCAAACTACCAGGCCCAGCCTTAAAAGAGAGTTGTTAGAGTAGCCTTTCTCTGTAGAATTCATTGCACTTGAACCTCTCCCTTCCTTACTATAATTTCTGGTTTGATCTTGCAGAAATTATGCAATTGTCTTGACCCTCAATCTTTTCATTCATAAAATAGGAATGATACTTTTATGATTAAACATCTCCTGTACTGATCTGAAGAAAAGAGTGTCACTGGGCCTATGTCTGGCTTACTGTCCATAAATAGAGTGACACTCTTTATCATTTGGAGTTTGATTCTTCTTTTGATTACAGGAAGAATCTTACTTCCTCTTACCCGTGAGAAATAAAGTAGTCTTACTTTTACATGGTATCTGATGTAGCTTTGCTTAAGTCATTCAATGTCAATAAAATTAGTTAAGTTTAGTAAAAACACCATCAAGGGAAGTCTCAGTTGCTAGATTCATCAAGAATTAACTGTAACAAAAGCAATGCATTTCATATCTGCCTTAGTCAATTTGGGCTGCTATTATAGAACAGCATATGCTGGAAGGCTTAAACAGCAGGAATTTATTTTTCATGGGTTTGAGACCTGGGAAGTCCAAGATCAAAGTGCCAGTAGATCTAATGAGGGCCTTCTTCCTGGTGTGTACTTGGCCGTTTTCCTGTTTTGTCATCACTGGCAGAGAGAGACTGTAACAGAGAAAGAGACAGTGACAGAGAAAGAGAGAAAAATTCTCATTTTTTTCTTATAAGAGCACTGATTCCATTTTTAAATATTTTTTCTATATTTCCGATAACATGGAATGACTGTAAATATTTACAGAACAAAGTATATTTCAAGACATTTACATGACAAGTACTGATCAAAATTTGATAATTGGCATTTCCATGTCTTTATCACTTCTTTATGTTTGGAGTCTCTGAGCTTCTTTTTTAGTTCTTTAGAAATTACATGGCCTTTCCCAATAGAACATATTCCCTTATATAACTCTATTCTGGTACCTGTCATCCAATCCCCTGCACCTCCCTTTCTCTATCTTTAGCAATTGCCTATTCTACTTTCAGATTAACTGTTTTCTTAAGTTTCCACTTATAACAGATAACCTTTGGTATTTGTCTTTCTAAGTCTGGCTTATTTCATTTAACATAATATCCTCTGATTTAATATGTTTAGCTCTAAATGACAGCATTTCATTCTTCTTTGTGGCTGAGTAATTTTCCACTATGTACATTTATATGTATGTGTGTTTTGTGTGTGCGTATGTGTGTGTGTATATATGTGTCACATTTTCTTTATTCATTCATCCATTGGTGGGTATCTAGTAACTAATTCCCTGTTTGAAAGCTACACTCTCATGACCTAATTGCCTCCCAAAGGCTTCCACCTACAAATACATTACACTGGGGATTTAGGATTCAAAAATGCATTTGGGGAAATACAGTCTCTCAATAGAAATATTCATACTTTGGGGCCATTCAATCACTTCTTATTAAAAAAAGAAATCTACAACTGGATTGGGAATTTGGCCTAGGCATTTAAAACATTTTTATCTGTGTGCCTGGGTTCAATTCCCAATGCGGTTGTCAGTATCACCTTCCTAATGTGAACTCTGGGAGGTAACAGGTGGTTACTCAAGTAATTGGACTTCTTACCACATGGGAGACCTGGATTGAGTTCTTGTCTCCTGACTTTGCCCTGATCTACTTCCTGTTTTGAGTAGCAAACCAGAGAGTGAGAGATTCCCTCTCCTCTCCTCTCTCTGATTCTGCCTCTATGCCTTTCAATTAAATTAATCTCTTTTGTAAAAAAGTAAAAGTCCACACTTGTAATTCCTGCTGGCAGTTTTCAAGCTGCATAAATCTTCAACTTAAGGAAATATGGCAACGAATCAATGCTTTCTTCCGTTAGCTTGATTATATGAAGCAAAATAATTTGTATATACTTAATTTCTTAGGGTCTATAACAAGCTCTGATGTCATTTTCTTATAGTTTATTGCTCATGCATATTAGAAGATCTCGTGAGAATAATTATGTAAATCATAAGGTCATGTATGTGGTATATTGTAGAAAAGTATTTTGTCTTATTTTAGAAAAAAATGTAAGATTCTGACATTCAGGTATCTTTGTAAGAAGTTTACTTTTAAAATTGCTCCATCTCATTTGGCATCTAAATGCACCACAGATGCTTTATGATTTTCTGGTTTTAATTAATGTCAACCCCCAGGTTGCCATGAGAGTTGTCTTATTTCCCTGCCAGAGCCCAGACTGAGAGAATTATGCTGGCAATGAAGGAATGATGAAACCCATTAAGTTTTCAGACTAAAGTTGCAAACTTCTCTAAAATCTGTGTTACTTTATATGTTAGGTCTAAGGTTACCTTTTTCTAAAGACCATTCTGATTGCTAGAAAAAATGTTTAGTATTTTTACAAAAATGGATCACATTCGTAATATTATTTCTATTTCATTAACTCATAAGTTCTATTTCCTATTCAAGAAAAAAAATAATTGGAGTTATAGACATGTATTTTATTAATTGGAATTATAAACATTTATTAGTTGGCATATATATATATGTGTATATATATATATCTCAGATTTGAAGAAGACTGAACATTTTTAAGCTTGCAGGTAAGGAAATGATAAAATTCTTAATAAAACAACATTAAGTGATTTGTGTATGCATTTCTTAGAGGCATAAATGTTTCAAAATCAATAAAAGAAAACCCATAAATTTTTAGTTTAAGAGAGGATGTTTTTAAATTACTCAAATCCTGATGGTGATAAATGGGCTGGGTGAGAAATATAAAAAGTGTTGGGGCAAGGAGTACTATAAAGAAAGACAAGACATTTGATGCAATTAAGATATAGTAACACTCAGGAAGTAGTATGTTGATTCTTCATTCAATCAATTAAAATTTATTCAATATATGTCAGGCATTGATGGAGGCACCAGGGAAGCTGAGGATAACAGGAAAGGTGATAAGCAACCTATTTTATAAAGCAAAGTAAATTAACAAGGAGTTAAGTGTTGTAACATCATTTTTTAACAGACAATGTTAAATACCCTGAGGGAATGTGTTAGAGGGGGGAAGCAAGGGGGATATATTAAATAATATGATATGATTAAATTGCAATATTTGAGCTGTGACCTAAAGGAAGAAATTGGCCTATCATGTAAGAACCAGGGAGGAGAGTATTCTTGACAGGAAGAAGAATAACTGAAAAACTTTGAAGCTGGCAGAGATTTGCACTCTGGGTTCTAAGGTATGCACAGGATTTAAACACCTAAGCAAAAGCCACATGACATTAATGTTGGGCTATTAGTAAGTAGTATTTCCACAAGACAGCTTTGCTTTGTTGGATATTTCATAGTGAACCAAATGTTTTTCTCTTCTTTGTTCAGTTCTTTGAGTTCTGGATATTTTCTTTAGGGTATCTGGCTCTGTCAACAGTGAGAAATTCCTCAGCAAATACAGAGGAAAGAAGGAGGCCGCCTGGGACAGAAAAAGAGGATGTCTTAAAAAAAAATACTCATCCAATGTAATACATCAGAAATCTCCCCTGTGACCACTGCTTTAAAAATACAACAGTATTTGTTGTTCATAAGTTTAATAATTATTTCTTAAAGTTATCTGATTTCAATATAAATAAATTTTATTTTCTTCACCTGCCTTTCTCATTTGGAAATCTCTCCATGCATAGCTGACACTGTAGCCTCTGACACAGTAAAAGCAAGTATTCACCAAATCAAAGTCTTACAACAAATTTTAAAATATTAGGAAAGCCTGAAGAATTCAGCTATTTCTAAAGAACCAGAAAGGTTTAAGAATGATACCAGAATTACTTGAGCTTGATGGCCTGTTGCAGTTGGTTCCAGACAGAATTATACTTTACTTCTGTAAAATCACTGCTCTGCATTTAAAGGCAAATAGGTGAGAAATTGTGAAATATCTAATAAGCTGGGATGAATGTCAAAATACAAAATTAAAATAATCTTTTAGAAAAAAATATTGACAAAATATATACAATAAAGAATATATTTAAAATTAAATAAAAAGGAATAATTATAATATTTCTCAACACATCATAAGGTACCAAATGATGTTACTTTTTTCTTGTTTATTCTAAACTGGGATTATTTCATACAATTACATTTTAAGTCTTGGGAACACATTTTACTATTTTACATTTCTATTTATTCTTTTCTCCCTTATATTTGTTTTCATTCAATATGTCAGTTCTCTTTAAATTAGTTACATAAAACAATATATGCCTTGGGCAAGGTGCCAAAGTGTATGTGTGTATTCATTGTGTGCCTTTTGAATTCTAAGGTCAGAAGACCAAATGAGATGGGTATTGCTTTTGTCGTTCATACAAAATGATTTCCTTTGGTGATTCAGTTATTTCAGGGTGAACTAAATTTTTCATCAGTGCCTATTAGACTGTAAATATGTTTTTTCAATAAGTAGCAAACCTTGAGTAACAGCACAAAAAAAAGCATCATAAAACTAGAAATCTCTGGAAAAGCAAAGCACATAGATAATGAAGATTTTCTAATGTGTGTGTATATATATATTTCAAAACTCGCCTAATTGTATGAGTTCTATCAACCCATATGGAATGTCTCTAATGTATTAATGTATTTCAAAGGATATAAATGTGAAAATTACTTTTTAAAAATAAATTATAGGCTCATAGTCTGACAAACAGAAAATGAAGCAAATCGTTAAGTGTGTTGCAGGAAGTGTCATAAAATATATATGGGAGGGAAAGCTAATTCTGTCAGAAAGCTAAAAAGGGGGCACCTAGTGCAGACAAGTGACTCAGTGATTACTATGCTGCCTGAGTTGGAGCTCCACCTCTGCTTCCAATTCCAACTTTCTGCCCATGTGTACCCTGGAGAGGCTGCAGCAATTACCCAAGTAGTTGGGTCTCTTCCCGGCACGTGGGAAACTGGGCTTATGTTCCAGGCTCCTGGAGTCCCTTCAAGGGATAGGAACTTGTTAATGGAAATTCTTCCTGTGTCTGCCTTTGTCTTTTTGCCTTTTAAAATGAAGAAGGGACAGGAGAGAGAGAAAAGAGAGAGAGAGAATAAGAGAAAGAAAAGAAAGGATAAGAAGAAAAGAGGAGGTAGCTTAGACTATCCTAACAGACTATACAGGAGCTCAAGGCTAAGAGGAGAGGAAAATATTTTCAGAACACAGCGGTGAAAAAGAAGATAGGTCTAGGTAGGAGTGTTTGGGTCCAGTTGGAGAAGTATCTGGAATTCCACACCAGTGGTGAAATATAGCACCCACTTATATGGAAAGACACAATCCAATATCCATTTTTGATTAAAGATACTGTGCCCTTGATATCTAAATTTTGTTTCTCTAATTATCATGCTAGATTTACCATTTCTAGGTGTTAAAAATGAAAGCTTTCTCATCCTCCTCATTCTCATTTAATGAAATTAATTTTGTAAGAGGCTCCCACCCAAAGAGAGTTTTAAAGCAGGATTTATGAGGATTCTTTCCTAACATTGATCGAAGGGAAGCTTGCTTCTTCTCTTGTTTGAAAATAAAAAGAGCTCTGTTTGTTTTTAGAATGTGAGGCCAAGCCACCATGCCTTTGTACAGAGCTGAAATACTTTCCAGCTCAGAGGACATCAATCATTTCGAGGCCACAAACATTTTCTTGAGATGCTTG